CTGTGACTGGACGGGCCAGTGCCTTGCCCTGGGCTGGGCTTGGCTCTCAGCTGTACATGCGGCATGCTGAGGGTTTATTAGATGTGTGGGAAGGCCCGGACCTTCTCCTCCAGTCGCAGAATTTGCCTGTGAGGCCCTGGTAAGCCCTCGCTTCATCGAGCACGGGGTGAGGGTGGACTCGGTGTGGTTTGGAGGGCTGTGGACTAGACGGGCCACTGCGGCTGGGCCTCACCAGGGCCAGGCAGCCCAGCAGACCCAGCTGCTCCTGGAGGCTTCCTGTGCATTGGCTGACCCCACTGGCCTGGAGAAGCAGCGCCTCACAGGCCTGTGCTAATATGTCAGCCGCTGCTCCTGCCACGAAGCAGGGGGCAGGGCTTTAGAATTTTCCCAGGTAGCTGGGTCCCTGGGTGGGATTTCAAACTGGAGCAACAGCCCCAGCCCCTTCTCTGGGTGTAGCCAGCCTGTGAGGACCGCCCCGGCTCACGTGGACTCCTGAACTTCCCTAGTGTGCCGTGTTCATCCGTCAGCACTGGTGGGCCGCGTGGGCAGGTGAAAGGTGCCCTCGTATTTATGCTGCTTTAAGATATTTGTGGTCATAGAAGAAGAATAGCAATTCCACTGAAACATTACAGGATGCCTGTGCCAGAGTGAGTGTGTGGCTATTACAACTCATAAAGCTTCTGAAAGCGCGCATTAAAGCGTCTATCACCTGTCAGGGGCATTTGCATGAAATCAATAATGGCCGCCCATCTATCTTTTCTGATCACCTTTCATCAGGCCGATTCATTAAGTCAAGCAGTCATGGTGATTAGCTGGGAGAGAGGGGAAGCCTGACATGTTCGGAACGCATGGTGGCCCACCTCTTTTGTTCTCCGATCGAGAAACACAACACTTTGTCCAACCTTTCTTTTTCTTTTTCTTTTTTTTGGACCAAGTTGTTTGGTGAGGCCGGAGAAGCTGCCCATCCGCCCAGATGCCCAAAGTGCACTCTTGCCTGACACCCTTGCCCGGGCCCAGGCGGAGACATGACAAATTGTCCCCCAAGTCAACGCTGACAGCTTCTGATGATTAATGGTCTGATTATGAAGTGGTTTTACACGTATAGAATTTACATCACAGAGAGTTAGAAATTTTGCAGTGTCACACACGCTGAGGCATTTTGAAGAGCTTTGCTATTTGCAAAGGAAAAAAGAGGGCAAAATCCCAGCAAAAGCCATGTCATGTAAAATCAATACCTCGGATCAATGCTTTATTAACAAGAAAATGTCTTACTTCACATTCCTGTGCGGACCTTTGTCTCCGGGATGTATGATGGAATGTCAAATCATATTGTGGTCCTCAACTTTCGGGCGTATTATTGAGTGTACACGTGAGGTGCCCCGCGTTGCTTACAAGACACACCGACGGCCCGGCACTCGAGGATAACGGTGACCGATTACTGTGGAGAACACTTTCAAAGGCAGACTCTAACCTTCCTCTTAGGGAGCCCTAGCCTTTGTCTTCCCCTGCACTCTGCAGACCTGCTGAGTTGGGTGGTGTTAATCATCAAATTACTAATGAGTGATGGCCCAAATTGCGGGCGGAGTAATGAATAGATGGCGGCAGGTCTTATTAGTCTCCGAAAACCTCCTGATTTATGTCGCGCCATGCACTGCGGAGTTACTCCATGGGAAAACGATACCTACATCAAGAAGTAATGTACTCTAATAAGTATTTTCATCTTAACTCGCGTCCCCGGGCCTCGGGGCTCAGTTTTTGTTGGAGTCGGGCAGAGCCATAATAAAACCCAATGGCTTCTTATAAAGCTTGTTAAACACAGTGTGCAGCCGCACTGAGTCCTGGCCGTGATTCACGCACTGTACACAGCGCGTGTGCCTCTGATTTATGGCCACGCGGAGTTCATAGTCAAAATTACAATTTGAGGGATAAAAAGATTAATTACTATTTGTGGTCGGCAATTTCGTGGGGCTGGTGGATTGCAGCTGTAGGACGATCGCGCTCTACATCAGTTTGTAGTCAGCCATTCACAGATTATTAAAGCTTCACAAGAATAAGTGCTCTTCCTGCCTGCTCTGTGCTCAGGCAGTATGCTAGACAAAAAAGGACCACAGGGATAAATCTGAGGCTAGCAATAGCCAGACATATGTCATAATTGCCAGCTTCCCATAAATTCCTGGCCAGTGTGGAAGGCTCAGTGTGATGCAGGCGACACACCACAGCGGTGGTGATTGCTATAGATGGCCCCAAGACCTGCCACTTTGTGACTGCACCGCCATTTTTACAATATATTGAGTCACCCTTTGACTTTGTTCCCATCTAATTATAGATTGGAAATAATCATTGCTTTTCTGTGCAAAAGAGAGAGGGAAGTCTAGTTCCTAAGCTAGTGCCAGCATCCGGGGGGAGGAATGCCACACATGTATGTGGAAGCATGCAGTAAAGGCATGACGGATGGCATGACAGTGATTAACCTGATCTATGTTTCTGTGTCCTGTTACAG